AGAGAGATATCTAATTAGTAAAGCGTCCAACAAATTAGGTCAATAATTAGAGGAATAGATAGTGTGATCGATAGATAATTAGATAAGTAGATATATCTCTTATTGAATCCCAAAGTCCAAGCTGGGAAATTGCAGTAAAGTGATTATTTTTGTAATCGATTAGTAGTTTAAGTAATTTCTTTATTATGCAAAAGTGGCAGTAAATATTGTTTTCAGCCTCTGAAATATGGAGACTTCCTGATTTTCTTTGTTTTATATCATATTAACCTGAACAACTTTGGGTTTTGAACTAACAGAACAAGACATTTAAAGATAAAACTTTTGATTTTGAAAACTAGGATGGACATTTTCTGAAATGTTATAGACCAATCTAACAAATAATCATCAGAGTAATAGATGATGATTTTTTTTCAAGTAGCAGCCCTAATAATAAGATCTCTGGTTATATTGTAGTTTTATTTTAGAGAGCCCAGCGCAGCACAGTAGTTTCAGACTGCACAAGTCAATTCACATCCATTTCTTTCTGCTTGTGGTCCACATTAGCCCATACAGAAATGTGCACTGACATTTTTAGGGGGGTTAAATGTCCTTTACAAGAACAATCAGTGTTTTTGTTTCTGAGGCCCTTAATCTTATAGGGTATCCCATGACTTAGATTTAGTCTCAGTATGGCTGCAGGAGAGAGGCCGGGCCTGTTGGTCAAGAGAGCGGTTGTGCTGTGGTGACGTGTTTGCCTGAAGCGGGAAAATGCCAAATGGCCGCACTGCATTTCCAGACAGAGATCATTTATTTTACATCAAGATATTAGATTTTTACTAAAAGCACCACACGGAGGGATCCGTTTTTTGGAAGTAGCCTTTTAATGATGAATCATGTCTTCACTTTTCTTAACTTTGCGTCACTGGTCTGCTTGCTTTAAGGTGAACTGATATCCTGACCCATCTTTCTGTAGTCGGCTCATTGTGATATATAGATTCTGTGATAAATCATTTTAGAGCAGCTGAAAACTGTGACACATTTCTCATGTGACTGTCATGACTGACCATGCCTGCTGAGTTAACCGGCTACTTAGTCAACCATGAAGTTGTCATGCCCCTATTATTTGAACTGCTGACATCTAGCAGACAGTCACAGCTGCCTCTGTGTGTGAGTTTAGGGTATTTATGTATAGGATAGGCGTAGTAACCTCTTTATACTTGTCCTGGGTCCCAGTTAGGATTCAGTGTCTTCAGAACAGCCTACACAGGATAGTGTGACAAACGACAATCACATGATCAGGATGAAACTGAATCCAACAGCTCTGATGTCTGTTATTTGTTCTCAATCTATCCTCACTCTCTCTCATCTCTTTTTATGTCTTCCCCTGGCAAACAGAGACGATTGCGTCACCTCCGGAGCATCGCAGCCAGAAACATTGTCAACAAGAATGGTTCCCCACTGCTGGACACTTACTTCACCCTCCACCTCTGTATAGGAGACCGCATATCTCGAGGTCAGTGTTAACACCCCTCCCACACACACCTTCCACCTTGTTGCTCCTGAGAACGGATAGAGGGTAACATTGCTGCTCGGCCCGTTTTCTGCAATCTCAAATTCAGTATATGTAAACTTTTGTTATGCACATTATAATTCTCTGTGTCATGAGTTCCTTCCACCCCATATTAACTAATTTAGCTACTGCATGGTCAAAAATAGCTTAGGTGGTTGTGTCATGACATCTCAAGCTAATGTGTGATCTCTAATGGGAAAATCCACTCTAAAATCAAAATGATGTACTATTGCAATGATTTTGGACACTAAATGTAGTATCTACATGTGCCTATAATCCAATAAAGTCACTGTTGTCCTTGCTGTGTGAGTAGCCGATTCAAGAGTTTACACTACATGATATTATCACTACAGTGTTGTGTTCACAGATTAAAGCACAGCTGAGTTTTTGTGAATTGTGTTTTAGGGTAGATTTAACCGAGTTGGTTGTGCATGAGTGTTTTCTACCTCCTTTGAATCAGCATTCTTTGATGTCTTTTTAGATTTTTACAAGAGTGAAGTCATACGAGACTCACTGGTGAGTATAACTCTTTATGTCTGCTTCCTGGGATATGTTTGAGATATTATTATTACCTGCTGTTGCAATGTGTGTTAGTACACTGGTCATTATGTGCAGTGCCTTAATGAAGGAAGACAAGCTTCTTGTATGTTACTGATGCATTTAAGGTATTTATACCTGCTGCCTACCACATATGTTGTTTCACTATAAACTCACTTAAACTGGTTTTCAGATAGCTAAGCTACAGTGACATGCTGTGAAACATGCTCTGCTGAATAAAATGTCAGACTCACATCAACGTGAATTAAATATGATATGTGGTGTTCTCTTACACAACCTTTTCTCTTGGTCTGTAAGCCTCTGTCTGTTGTGTAAATGAACTAGCTGTGTATTACTACGTGATCCTTTGGCTTTTTTTCTACTCTTCTTTGCGTGGCAGATGCAGCTCTACACAAAGCTATAGAAGCAGCCAAGTACAGCAAGCCATTACTGTTGGGCTTGATGCCGAGTCATGAGCTGACCTAAGCTGCTTTCTAGGAGTACTGTTCAGTACCCTGAGCAGACAGACTCTGTAATGCACTGCAGGAGTCATGACTCCTGTCATCTCTCAGCACAACTTCCTCCTGTTGAATTTAACATCCTTGCTGACATTCGTTCTCAAGTATTCCGTCTCCTTCCCGTCATCATTTGTCTAGGGAAACGTTTCTTGTTGGTCTTCCTGTTTTCCTTCTAACTGCTATGCCCCTTTTCTTCTGTTGCTGACTCTCACTTGTTCTGTTGCCAATCCCCCCACCCCCACCCCCACCCTGTGGATTGTACTTCTGCTTCTGCTTCCCCTAACTGTCCTTGAAAGTGACACAAAGAGCAAGAGATTTTCTCTCTGTTGGAGGGAAATGGTGCATAATTGAATGATGTAAATGGCTACAGTACTTTGTAGAACCAGTACTCAGTGCTGTCAGTCTGGAAGTTCAAGGGCGGAGAACAAACTTTAGCATGAATCAGACTTTAAAGTTAATGGAGAACAGGATGATTCAGTTACTTTACTGAGGATAGGGATTGCATTATGACATTGAATTTGATGGCACTACCACACAGATTTTGATTCAACCTCTTCAGCATGCACATAAAGAAACACTCGCATGCTTGTATTGTTTTTACTTCTCTGACATAAACAGTAGCTTCAGTTGAAGTTTGATTATTACTATATTAAATAAAGCAGTTATTGTGCTGACCAGCTGTTATGTCAAGTTTTAATGCACTCCTTACATACACTGATTATCCTCACCAAGTGACTGCTAGTCTTTACTTATATGTGTCAGAATCCAACTTGGCGGAGCCTGGACTTTGGCATGCTGCCGGACCTTCTGGACACCTCAGTGTCTTGCTTCGTGGTGAGGATCTGGGGAGGGCAGGAGGAACAGTACCAGCTCCTCATAGAATGGAAGGTCAATCTGGATGGCCTCCGATACACAGGACAACAGGTCAGCAACCACACATGATAATGATAGTGTAATATATATACTGTAGTTTTGTCAAAGGGATCCCATTGTGGTAGAAATTGTGCACCGGCTACATAGGGAGATATGAGTGGTGAGAGCAAAAAACATATATGTATGTCTCAATGATATAAATATATAATACAGTTGTCATTTGTATTTATCAAAAACTGAAGTAATTGTTTGTACTATCTGCAAATCTAGTGTCATGGTCAAACACATGAGGTGCATGTTTTTTAGTTCTTTACATGTGTTTTACAGTATTTTGCAATTGCTTCGGCTCAGTTTTAACACATAAAAATCTAACATAGTGCTCAAAATGATCTCACACATCTCATGGCACAGTAAGTTCACCAGAGCATCACAACATTGTATAGGTATTAAAACAACAGTAACCTATATTCATCAAACCTGAGTCTGCAGTTCATTGCCTGCAAATTATACAAATAGCAATGTGTGGCCCCAGTAGCTCACCTGGTGGGGCAGATACCCTACTGTAACAGACACTCAGGACTATAATCAAAAGGCAAGAAACAGGATTTCTTCCTCCCTTCTTTTCCATGTATTCTCTTTTACCCATGCATTTTAAATGTATGGCAGTGGTGGTGAAGTAATTAGCAACTATGTTGCAGTGCTGCTCACCAGAGTAATGATGTTAAAATTAGAAGAAATGTTTGCAAACACATTGATTCAGTCATCTGTGTGCTTAGTAATGGCTGTTGAAACAGTTTTGAAAAATGAGCCAAAGCAATTATAAAATACAGTAGAGTAACTCAATGTTATTTCCATTCTTTCACAGCAAGACTATTTTCAAAGCTCGTAAACAGATAGCTCAGTCTCATGCACTTCCAGATGCCCGCTGTCCTTTGTTCTCTCTGCTTCAGTCCCCACAATGAGCCTCTACTGCCTTGCTTTGTCCACAGATTCGATCCAGGAATCCAAATGAGATCATATTTGGATTGAATGATGGCTACTATGCAGCTGACTTTGATCATAAGGTACAGCCTACTGTCCATTTTCCAGAGTTTTGCATCATAATGGAATACCCACTTCTAATCTTATTAGCTTTATTTGGACACTGTTTGGGTTCTGCATTGAAACACTGACATGTGGCTGTTGCAGGATCAGTCAGAGCGGAAGAAAAACAGCCTGCTTCAGGTTGACCAGAGTTCAGTCAGGAACTCCTACAGTGTTTTCTCTTTGCTCAGGTAAGGTTCATGCCATCTAGCAGTATGACATCATGTTATTATATCCTTAGGACTCAACTTTAATCAGCTGTATTATATCATATTATATCATCAACCACTTACAAATTATGCTTTACAGTGTGTTTGATTTTTTCCTCCAACAACTACTCCTTCTTCAAGAGCTGCAACTATAAGTTAACTAATCAATTAGTTGTCAGTTATTAAATTCAATTTAACTTATCTGAATTCAGCTTCTCAAAATGTGAATATTTTTTGGTTCATTTAGTCATTTAGACAGTAAACTGAGTATCTTTGGACATGACATTTGAGGACGTCACACTGGGCTTTAGGAAACAATGATCAACATTTTTCACAACCATTTCATGGACCAAACAACTAACAGTTTAATCGATAATGAAAATAATTGGTAGTTGCAGCCCTAGTTTCGTCAAGTAGATATTTTACTTAATTTTAAATTGGTCATGTGATTACACTTCCTGCAGTTATGGGTGTTCCATATTTGTGTTCCAGCAGAGGGTGCCACAGGAAAGCCAACTTTTTGACCCATTATCAAGGAATCAATGCTGGTCTCTAGCTTCATATAAAGGCACAAAGCCTGTTAGTCTACACAGTATTTCTTGGGCATGATGGGACAAAAATAGGGAACATTTTTATCCCAACATTTGAATTTAAGCGTAACACAATAAAGACACTTTATCATTAGGCTGGTGTCCGATTTGTGATTAGAATCGAAGTCCTGCTGATGTTGACTGTGAAAAATGGTTGCAGTACAAATTTACACCACAAGAAGGAGACAGAGATTTTCTTAGCAAGTTGCTTGTTAGATGCGGACCCCTTGTGCAGTGATTAAAAGGTTGAGACAGCATACAGCAGTCCTGGCATCTGTTGACAAACACAGGCTTGTTGTTTTATATTTATATTTAAATGTGGTAGGATTTAAACACTACTTTCAGCATCACCAGGGCTTCCCCAGAGGGAAACCCACTGTTAACCATAGCCTGATCATTTAACAATGTAATTACATCCAGTTTTAAGCAAACAAATGTATATCTGGAAGGTTAAAGTTAGGCACTTTCAAAATAAGATAAGGATCCTGTCATTATGAGCATTATGAGGGCTTTCACTGACATTTTCCTACTATAAGAATTAAATAGGGGGACATAAATGCGTCACAGGGCTTTGCTGTGTCATGGAAGAAGTTATGCAAAAGCCGGCTGAACTTTAACAGTGTTCCCTCATCTAGAAGTGGTCATGGTTTATGTTTATATGAGAGGATACATTGCCTCCCCAGCAGCTTGCAGGAGAAAAAGCCCATTTTGAATCCTAACTTTTATGACCTCTGCTCTTGCTTCTTCTATTATTGCAGCTTTCTTCCACATCCTCTTCTATCCTCATCCAGTGGGACTTTTCAGAGTTTAACACAGTTACATTGATCCCCTTCTTCCCACACACTGCTCTGCCTGCAGCTCCTCACCCCTGTCAGAGTTTTTCCTTGGCTCAGTGCACTCATATGCACATGGTTTATGATTATGTACTGTGGAATGATTCATCAGATACTGTACACTCCAACCGGGATTATCCTCCCACCCCCCATGGTACATAACCATATATACTGCTCAGTTTCTGACCTGAGAGCTCTGCCTTTTTCAAAGTGCATTAACTCTCTGAAGCATTCAGGTGGAGTGCTGCTCATGGAACTGTGCTTGGAGTTGAAATTGCTTTTGTTATTGGCTCACTTGCGTTAGTTGCATCATAAATTATATATAGCATTTTATGTTTGTATGCTGCTGGCACTGCACCATTGACTTTTCATCACGTAGAGAAGTGAAAAATAGGGTTCTTCTCCAGTTGCCTAATTTCTTCTGTGCCTCTTCCAGAAAATTTTGAATAAATGTCTTTTTTTCTCCAGGAACAGTGATGCATGCCCACAGGGGACATTCACAGTGTCACATATTCTCACCCAACTCTCTCCCACTCTGCCTTGGCCCAGTGCAGTCCTTTAATGGAAAAGGATGAGAGCTGCTTTGCTAAGAAGGCACTGGTCTTGATTAATGAGGGTAATTTGTCAGCAGATTCACAGTCTGCCTTTCAGCCTAGCTCTGGTTGACAACACCCGTCGCCTGTGTGAGTAGCATGGTGATGTGGGCTAGCAAACACAAGACGTCTCAGATGGAGAGATGAAGAGGGAGAGTACAGATCATCAATCAGCAAAGTCATGTCTCTTCCAAAGAGTCTTCCAGGCTGAGATGGAGGCTGAGCCACATCCTATATAGAGCTGGGCCCTGTCTGGGTAGGAAGAAAGCCAAGAAGACAGTGATGAAGATGAACCAGCTGTTCAGCAAAGTGTTTTTTTTCCTATTAATACAGGTTCAGATGTTCCTCAACATCCCAAGTACGCTCTTCTGTCTTACCATGGGAATGTCTTAGCAGTAAGAGAGGGAAGAGCTGATAGGACTAGTGGTAGAATTGACTTACTGTCATCACATGACAGAGCTGCATATTGGACTAGTTGTATATTAACAGAGTGGTTTACTGTTCCAGTTTGTAATGGTTAGAGGCCATCTTTTATGGCCTTATATGTTCTTGAACGTCACATTGAAGTGGTGTGTAAGTAAGTACTTGAGTGGCCCCTAAATTCTTCCTCACAACTCTCAGCTCAGACAGCTAAGAGTTCTGTGCTTGTGTTTAGATGTTAGATAGTATTTGTACTGACAACAAAACCAGTGTCAATGCTGAATGTCGAAGTTTCAGGTTTATTCTAGTGTCCCACGTGACACATGGTAAGCATCATTCTTGGGGCACAACTTTCACAGTTCAGCGCTGTGGCATTGCAGTTTAATCCTGTCTCAAACTTTTAGAGCCTGAAGGGGAAACTTTCTTTCCCCCATGATCAGAGCCACATGTGGCTTTAGTTTCCTGATTTGCTTTTGTATGTCCCTGTGTGGAGTGTGCGTGTATGTACAGTATGTGTCAACAGAAGCAGTGCATAGTGATGGTGAAGCTCTGTGGGGGGTCTCTCATGCCAGAAGGCTGTTGAGGTGATAATGCTTTCTTGCAGTCAGACCCTAAAGTCTACTCACCTGTTGGTTGGACGCTGCAACCACAGCTCTCGGACATGGGACGTTGTTGTGTTCCTGCGTTAACCAGGCAGCTGGATCGGACTCCACGGCTGACCCTGGGGTCTCAACCAGAAGCAACCAGACTATAGACGCAAACTTACCGCCTTAGCTTTGAATCACCCTGGAGGTATAAATGTGGGTGCTCTTGTTTTCATTTCACACTTCTGGAGTGGACTCAAAGCAACCCCCATACAAATAATTTAAAAAGAGGTCTACAATTGGTTTTTCAATGTAGGCAGTGGGCCTGCAACACATTTTTTCTGTCTGAAATTACTTTCTCTCAAGGCTAAGACCTCCTGTTTTTTTATTTTTCACTCTCGTCTCCAGCGTTGCACTTTCTTTGGGTCTTCCAGTACAGTGCTTCGTGTTGTTATCTCAGCTTGTTGATGTAGGATTCATTCCTCCCACCTCTAAAATTATGCCCCAACTTAAAACCTAGCCTTAGCCTTTCTTGTGTCTTGTGTTTTTTGGCTTCTCGAACAAAAGACAGTAGTCTTTGACTAGTAGAACTTTATATGAGCTCTTTGTACATAAAACAATGCTTTGTAGCTAAGCCTTTTCTTTGTTTGTTATTTGGCTTACAGCAGGCAGCATAAGTAACCATGACTAACCGTCAGATTTTTAGTGTACCACGAGGGCAAAGAGCTCACGCTGATGACTGGGGATCCAAATTTCTATAATTATTTGCAGAGTGTGTGACCCCTTTTTGACCCATTTTTGACCCTTTTGAGACCAAAGATATCTTTTTTTTTTTAAGATCTCTTTGGCTTCTCTGCATCTCTGTTATAGTTGTCATGTAAACACGGATTATAGCAACTCAGCAGATCCTGACAGCCTGGAGGAGTAAAAGTGCATATGCAGGCTTGCCAAAGAACCTCCAGTAATCTTATCTTCCAATCCCTGTAGATGGAGACAATGGTGAAGTGGGGTGAATAGCAAGTAGTTAAATGTGTTGACATTCTTTGGCAATGAGATACTGACAGAATTTAGAAGTGTTGTTTATTGTGATTTTCCCACTGCGTTGCTGTTGGTTTTGTCCCTGGCAAAGGTGTGATAGTGGGACATTATTCTCAATTTGTTGTCACAAAATGTCTCTGAACTTGTTCTGAATGGCTTAATTGGCTGCCCTGTTCACCTTGTGGTGTTGGGTTATGGTTGCTGGAAATGAATTCAGTACAGTCATTAGTCCTTGGGCTTGTTTCCTCTGACCGAGGTTTGTTTGACAAGTGCATTGGGCATGCTTGCATGTGATGAACAGCTGGAAGACTGGCCAAGCCACACGATGTTCAATACATTTGGGATATGGGTTTGGTAGCAGGAAGAAGATCTTTGTAATTTCTGATGGGAGAGCACCATGTATACTTTTAATGCCTTCTTTTTTGCTCGATCCAACCTGTTGCCTGCACCTCTTTCTTTTTTTTCTCTCTGTCACACATAAAAGGTTTTGCAGTTGAGCAAAAGTATTTGTTATGAACAAAAAGCTCTGCAGTGATATGGTTAAGGAATTGTCTGCCAAGGAAAGACCAGAAGGTTGCATCTAACAAACTTCAGGTGTTATGTGCATTGTCATCTTGTCATTCAAACCTCCCCATTCAAGACAGTTCTTCAAACAGTTCTTCCCAAGGCCTTAAATGTAGCCTTCTTGATGTTTCCTTCTTCGTTTCTCTCAGAAGAACAACAGTGTACTCCCTGGGGTCTTCTTCAGATCCCAGGTCTTTCTCTGGCATATCTTTGTGAGCCAGAGGACACATCTGCATTTGCTGATTTATTCTCAGCCCTGATTGCAAAATTGCGGATGCTGGACCACAACACGTCATGTAAACCATGGCAAATATTTATTTTAAGATAATCAGTAAAGGTAAATGAACAGAAAACAGGAGACCTTGGTCAGAGAGGCTGCCAAGCCTGCTGCCCTCCAACTACACTGAAAGGACTTTAAAAAAGACTGGTCATCAGTGTTTGTACTTAATCCTAAATCTTAACATTCACCATTTTAACTTTATATTTTTGCTATACCTTGAAAGCCCCTGTTAAAGATTTTCTACGAGATGCCTTCTGTTTATCAAAAAATCTGTACGTTTCAAGTTTAATCTGACACCCCTGCAGGATCTGGTGCCACGGTCAAAGGAGAAAATGTTATTGTTTTTCTGATGTTTATCGGCATAAAGGGTTGAGTGCACAGGCTTAGTCATAACTTCCTGCAAATCCCCTGTGGCAGTATTGTAAGTTACCTGTCATTCCGCGGAAAAGGAAAGTTGTCATGGCTTGTGAAAAGGTGTTCTTTGGACAGTTGCGCAGTGATTAAACTGCTGCCTCAATGAGGGAGCTCGTGGGAACCCCCCTAACCCCTGCCCCCATAGGTTGTTATAGAGCTTGATGGCCAAGCTCTAGCCCAAGAGTCAGGCAATGATAAGGTGGCAGACATGCGTGAAAAGGAGAGAGGAGATAACTATTCTCACCTGGGGGAAAAGGCCATATCAGATTCTGCCATCGCAATCACCTAAACAGATGAAGCTGTCAAAACAGATTTGCCCTGATGTTCCAAAATACTATCTGTTACTGCTATCACTGTCACCTCAGACAGATTAAAATGTGGACAGAAAATATGAAATTATTTTCCTGTAGGGTCGTCTTAGAAGCAATTTTTTTTCAGGTTGGTGGTCAGAAAGAGGCAATAATACCTAGAGGTGAGTGAGTTTCATAAGAAAAAAGCCCCCTAGGATTTGTAAAATGACCCCACCAAGCTGGAAGCCTGTTAAAAAGAGCCTCTTACACTAAATCGCCTCAAGAGGCAATTTCTTGAAGAAGAGAGTGCATACCTAAAGAAAACCCTATTCACCTCACCCTCATGACCCAAACCACAGGGTTAAAAGGCATGAGTTCAGACATGAGAAACTTGCTAATAAGAAGAACTGATTGCATCTTTATCTGGGGCCCAGACAGTTGAGCCATTCTGTATTCATCTAGAAAGAAAGGTGACTATTACTGTGCAATCCAGCTCTCATGGCATTGAGACATTTAGCAAGAAGTGAATGATCTAACACCATTCTGACACAATGATTGCTAATTGCCAGTTCTCCTCTTTGTCCTTGTAACTCATTCCCACCATGTGGCATTGTTGTCTGTAGATGGGTTGTTGGGAGTCCCTTGGGCTGAGTTGAGGGAGGGTTTGTCTCTTTTTCTATTGGCTCTGCACTTGAAGAAAGCATACTTGGAAGTTAATTATCCATGTGATTGATGGTCTAAATAATGCGCTGGCTTGTTATTTGTGTACTGGTGTTGCTGTTTCCTATTTCAGTGATGACAGTGACATGGCATTTGGACTAAGGCGTCCATCTTTGTGGTTTCAGTTAATTAGTTGGCCTTTGCTTTCTGGAACTGACTCTGGTTCAGGTCTATCACAGGACGTTTGATCTCATATTGTGGTTAGATTATTTTAAAATAATAGTGATTAAACATTTTGTTGAGATATTTGCGGTTTGTGGTATTTAAGAACGTGATCAGTCTGGTCCAATGGACTTTAGACTTTTATTATTAGGAATGTTCTCAATAATGTTTTTGTCCTTTGTTTAATGTCAAAACTCGTCAATAACTTTTACAGTTTAGGAGACTCAGCAGTCGGGCCAGAACAATGACATTCAACCCCAGTAAATCAAAAAAAAGAAACAAGGAGGCATTAACAAACACACTGCACAATGACTCTTCCACATGGGGACAATCATATTTCAAGATGCTCTCCAAACATTCACTCTAAACATCCAAGCTAAATGAAATGAATAGCACCGATGCCAGCCAGTTTAGTGGCCTCTGGGACCCACAGTTTCAACATGGGGTTGTTTTTGTGGTCTGGTGTGTGGTTCTGCACAATGATCAGGGTGACTGAGGGTGACTTTGTGTTTTCCTCCTCTTGCAGGCTTCACACAGCCCAGAGAGCCATCAAGCAGACCCAGGTGACAGTGCAGAAGATTGGGAAGGAGATCGAGGAGAAGCTGAGGACGACGGCAACCTGCACAGAGCGGGTGAGCACCAGTCACCCATCAGCAGCATTTTCCAACTCATCAGCAACTTGCCTTTCAAATCAGCAGCGGCGTTTAGACAGCTTATTTTCAGTAGCAAGCACTGTTGTTTCATGTTATTGTAAAAATATGTAAAAATCACTATTGGTATAGAATTTCCTGTTTTGAGAAAATAAAGAGGGATGAGGTGCAATTTGAGATTTGTTGTTTTCAAAGAAGGTTCATTAACACCAGCAGTAATCGGTGTGATCAGCAATGACAGGCCCATTGGTATCTACACTCATAATAAATATCAGCAAACTATATTGTGCTAAAAACTTAACAGGATTTAAGAGATTGTATCATCCAAATCCTCGGATGTAATTGTTATGTAAAGTAATTTGAGTTGTAATTATATCCTTCGGGCAGCTATTGTATCTTTTTGTTTTGACGGCTCTACTGAAAAGTGGAGTAAGTGCAATATCCCGCCTGCCTTGGCGATAATGCCTTGACCAAAATCCACTGTTTATGTTTTCACCTCCTGTCATACCCTCCACTAGGATCCACAGCAAAAGCAAGAAAGCATATTTAACATTTTTGGAATTGGCAGCCACACAGCTGTGAAAACTGAGCACTGATCCCAGGTTTGACATTGTGTTTATTGTAAACATTCACTTCAAAAGCACCCCCTGTTGTTTTAAAAGCCCGGAGACAGAGACAGTGACACGTTTGGTGTTTTTATCCTCCGGAGTGACTTGCCTTTGGGGAAAAAAAATATTTTTGTGGTCACAGGATTACATCCCTTACATGCTAAAATTCATTCAGTTATTGGGCCGCTAGGATATTTTTGTGTAGTGTTTAAAATTTACAGGAGTGTGTGTATGTGCTTTTGTGCAGATACCAAATGTAAAGGTTTTGAGTGCCTCTTTAGACAGCTGTTACAGCTGTTGCTTTTCCATCATGCTCTCCATCAGCCTTTGATATGGCTCTTTTTTTTTGTTCCTTTGCCCAGACCTTCACCCTACCTATTAAAGTAGCTCTGCTATAGCCTTCTCAAGCCTTCCCACAAAAACATTGAGGCTCCATTCTTTTGCCACAAAGGATCCCTTTCAAAAACTTGTCTCTGATATTTCCCCCTCGGTGAAACATTCCTTGAAACCCTTTTCAGTGCTCACATCAGCCAATAAATCACATAATCCTCGTCCTCTACCTTTCTGTTAAACCCTGCAACTTGCAGTGAGTGGAGCATTGTGTGGCTCTTCTAAGGGTTTCCCTCTTTGCCTTTGGAAAGCTCTGTACTATCCTTCTGTCGCGTCATAGTGAGCATGGATCAAAGGGGGACCAAGTGGAGGCCACCAACCTCAGCGCATGGCCCTTTTCACCCTCTCACCCACACCCTGCTATTAATCTGCTGGGTTATAACATGCACCCCCATGCCTGCTGCTTATTTACTCAGCTGACCCTCTGCTGTTTGATGTTCAGTATGAGTCAGACGGGGGCCCTGCTGGTGGGTTACAGTCTCACACACTGACATGGCTGTGACCCACTTGTCAACTTTGCCGCCGAGTGAAAGTGTAGGAGGCTCATGGTTCGTGCCAAAGCCAGCGGTGGTTAACATGCAAGCATCAGGGTGCGACACATTGGAGAGATGGAGGCTCTATCAGTCCTCTCTGTTTTTGCCAAAAAGCCCTCAGAAGTCTTCAAGAAGAAGCATATCTGTGTTTCCTCTGATCCAGGCCACGATCACTATCTAAGTGTGAGTGTGTGAAAGGCCGCAGACGCTGCTTGCAAACACAAGGCCGAATATCTGTTATCCTGCCAGTAAGCTCCCTCCCTCCCAACTCTCCATTAGCCATGCCATTCTCCATGTTTTTCTCTTCCAACTCATATTACATGTGCATTTCTTAGTCATCATCCACATAGTCCCTAAACGACGCCTCTTAAATCTCTCTATGCATGTTTTGAAAGTGCCCTCTCTGTTCATCTCAACTTATCATTATTCATTGTATTTTTCTCTTACCCTCCAATCTCTCCCCTTCATCTAATGTATACCACATCCACATCCATCAGTCCATGAATCCCTAGTGCTGTTCCTCATTAGATGGTTAGCCCCACTGCAGACTCCCCCCTCTACCAGATAGAGACATGAAGCCTGATAAAGGGACACCCTATGGAGAGGGCAAGATGTTGACTAATGACCTGCACTCTGATGCTGCCGCTGGTCAGGGAGCATGTGGTGAAAGAGAGACGCCAGCAGAGAGTTGTGGGTACAGAGGCAAAGACAGACACTCATCTGGAGTTGATGGGTTATATTGTGGTCTCTCACTTGGGTTTGTGTACATCCGCCTGTTTGCATGTGGTTTTCTGTGTGCTGGGCGTTACTCTTCTCTATCTAGTGAAGGGCCAGTGGGCACACAGTGGGCTTGAAAGTACTACACTTAAAAGAGATTCAGCCATCATTAATGTTATTGATTATACATGCATAAACTTTCATTGCAGTGGTAAGTCAAAATGTCTGTTGTGAAAAGGCACAAGCTGTCACAGGTGCTACACACAGGTGTATGAAGGAGCATTAGTCAAGCAAGGTCTGTACACACCCTATACCTTCAGAGAAAAAGGTCTGATTTGGAAAATGAAGTGAAAGCACCTGTGCAGGCGGACCTCGGTAGTGGAGGGCCTTTTTAAAATCTTGATTAGATGGGGTTGTTGCATCAAAAAAAACCAGTAAGGTACAGAAAAGAATTCACATTTTGATGCAGCAGAAATTTTGAGTTTATTACATTTTAAGCGTGATTACATCATTGCTACACATTTGCTGTGAGTATTTTGTTTGTTCTTGTAGATAAAATCACCAGACTGGCAACAGAGGCACTTTGCGCCAGAAACAGATGTGGTTCTGAGACGTCTATCCTCTAGCTAAGATGCTGGTTGTTACATCACCACCTTCAGCCTCATCTTCTCGCATCTTATCAGAGCTGCTGCTTGCATGTTAACTGCAGGACCTCCATATATGTTAACTCGCTGCCAGCCATTCCCATGACTTGGGCTCACCACTAAACCTCCTCACCTGTAGCACTGATCTCAAGGCTCAAAGAGATGTTTTCAATAGCCACATCCTTCTCCGTCTTTCTTGTCTTTAGTTGTTGACAGTGGCCAGTATTGGCTCGGTAAATGTACATTAATCAACGCAGCCTGGGATCAGCCTGTGAAAACATGGCTTGTTTTGGGGGGAGCTAGTAGGAATTTAGGGCTCTTTATAAAGGATAATAAACACAAAAAGTTGCTGACCGCATACTAAATATTTGCCTTCCATCTTCTTCCTCTGTTTTCTCTCCATATCATTCTCTACTTTTTTCTCTGAACAGAAGAAGGAGCGCGAGTGCATGCAGCTGCGTATAGCCGTGCTGCGTAGTGAACTGCAGCGGCAGAGGAAGGCGCTCGGCAGGGAGATAGACCTGCGGCAGAAGGAAACGGTACAACTTCAGAAGAAAGGTAAAGCACATGGGTGCACGTACAACAGGCACACTAATGTGGCTGTTAACACCACACTAAAGGTTTTATTGTTATAAGCTTTGCCCCAATGAATATGAATCAGAATCAGAATCAGAAATACTTTAATAATCCCCGTGGGGAAATTACTTGAAAGGTGGGTACAAGAAACAGGAAAAACAAGGAATGATGATGGATAATGAAGTGTTCAATAGATGAATTTACACTGAAATATAGTTATAGGCCTACAGATGTCATATTTCAGCCTTGAAGCTCTTCTGTTCCAATCTAAAATAATACACAATGTCAGTATACTTTTCATTTTTCCAGCAGCGTATACAGCCACAAGCAACTTAGCTAGCAATGTGAACACTGTATACACACAAGAGCACATATTTCAGTATGTATTCAGTTCACTTGATCAGTGTTTTACCCCCAAAATGACCGCTAATAGGAGTACACTGGTGGTACTAGCTATGAACGCCACTGGCCATTCAGTGTTCCATAAGTATCACATGAGATGATCAGTCAGTCCTGCTGCAACTCATTTTGCTTTAATGGTGCTGCATGACTCAAATCCAACTTGCGTAAGTAGACTCAATATAAATAGTAAAAACACATGCAGCAAATTCCACCAAAATCCCCAATCCTTTTATGAATAACAAGGCTCTGTTGCAGCTACTAATTGTAAAAAGAATAGAAAATGTTGTTGTGACACAGTTTCACAGACCATCATTTTGTCCATATTACAGAAAGCACTGGCCGACTCTATATTATTTGATGATGATATTTTAAATGTTTTTGTTGGAATAATTCACAAAATCCCTTTCAATACAACTTATTAAAATAAATAGATTCATCACATTCCTTCATTATTCCTTTTGTAATATGGCTCAGTTGCATCCCTACAGTTAAATCAATTACATAACGTTTTTTTTCCATGTTATTATGTCACCAGTTAGTTAGTTACTTAGTTAGTTAGTTAGACAAGTTAAAGACAAGGTCAGTACACTGCTGATGGATTCTGACTGCACACATCAATCTATACATTTAGGTATTGAAATACTGTTCATAATATTTCTTAAATTGACAAGATTTACCATGTGATTTTGTTGTACAGGAAACTCCAATTTTAAACACATTGGTCAGGGTTTCAGTGCTGTCTGACAGCAGCAGGTAGACTGTGTGTGCGCTGTATTACCTGAGTAAAGTAGAGAGTGTTGTCACATACAGGAAGCCTCTGTCACGCTCCCAGTCAGAGGATTAGAGTCACTCAACACACACACATATGTACACACATAATGTACGGTATATAGAACCATTCCTGTGGTTTTTACAGCCTGTGCCATCCAGGCCGCTAAAGCAACAACAGCGGTGTCATTTAGTTAACCCTGTGAAGTCTGCAGCTCCTGACTGATGCTGCCTGCCTGTTACTGTTCATAGGGAAATAAAAGGCAGTGTTACTGAAGATTGGCTTGACAAAATGTACACATACACAAACCCAAACACATATTGTATGCAGGTGTATACAGGTTTGCTTAATACAAAATACTAATCACTTTTTTATGATTGAATATGCCCCCAAGAAATATAGTGTAATTTCAGTGTATTTTTGAGTGGCTGCAGCAGCACATGGACGTCTTTATTTTCTCAATTCAAGCAACATATGGGTGACACAAGCCTCGTAGTTTCTTGAACTCTCTCCATTCTCCCATAGGTGTTCATCATCTTCATTCTCATCAATGCATTCAATGACCCTGTGTGTTTCTCAATATGTGCCTGCTGCATTGTACAGTGAGTCTGCTGATGGCTTTACTGAAGTACCTTTGTACTTTTAAAATGAGAGCAAATGTATCGTAGCTACCAAATCAGAATCATAATAACAAAGTGTGTTTTGACCAACAGCTACACCCTGATTGTTGTACATTGGAAGTTTGAACTTTATTTATTTAACAGGGGACAATCCACATTAATTAACACGAGAACTTAAATCCATTATGTCAATGTGTCAGATTTAGTCATACAGGGTCATTTCCATTTGCAGTCCCTGGCAGGTTGATGGCATATCAGAAAACATTTAAATAAAACATACAAAAGCACAAAGTTGGAGATTGAACCTGTTCCTTTGCATCTTTCCAAAATATATTGAATGCACTGACTGTTACCTGAAGTCAGTTTTTACTTGCCCCTATACAAATAGTTTAATTAGCAGGTTATCAAATAACAACAAAGACCTTCTTAGCTGCCCTGCAAGCGAGATGCTGTCGGCTCTTGTTAGGGCACTCCAGCAACATTTTTGGAAACATGATGTGCCTTTGACAGTAGAACCCATTTTATCTTCCTTGTGGCAAATAGTCTCGTCACATCCTCTAACACCGCCTCACTAAACTTCTGTTTCCAATATAATTGAAATACTCGCTTGCGCTTCAGCTCATAAACTTTGTCTTCACCTTACACCAGGTGCTTTATCGGTACTGCACGTCTGCAACTCTCCACAGAGATGAGAAAGAAGCAAGATGGCATTTAACTAGCCACGTCAGGCGATCCCCGGACAAGCAGGCGATCCTTATTGTTGAGCCCTGCTGGTCGACTGGTTGTCTTAAAGTAGACCAGTTGCTCTCTGTAGGGACCTTGTGTTAGTAAGATCAGCTTGTTTTTTGGCCAAAGGGCAGGGCACCTCACCGAGCCACCAACCTGAGGTTGATTAGCATGTAGTCTGCACATGCATGCAGGCATATACACACACACACACAAAAAGAGAGCACTCAGAGGGGTTTAGGGAGAAGTTTCCTTTGTGCTGCGATTCTTTAAAAAAAAAAAAGGCCGTTAATCCTCTGCCTCTTTACCTGTCACCACCCCGTCTACAGCCAAAAGAACTCGCTGCTCTCCTTCTCTGCAACTCATTGATGGCTTTTTTCCAGACTGGACAAGTGCTTATTAAGAAACAGAAGAAAAAATTCCTTCGGCTGGTTAAGGAGGGAAAAGGTATTTTAGGATAAATTGAAATGCTGTAGCTGAATAGGACTGTGCTGAAAATCGTGTTGTTTTTTCCCAGACTCATAACTCAAAAGCCTAAAGCCATATGCTGCTGAGCTCTGCTCTACTTCCAGCTTGTTGTTTAACTCTTCTAATCAGCCTGCATATATTCATTCGTTTCCCTATCGGAAAAAAACCCTGCATTAATTACAGACAGAATACTCTCGGAGACAGGTGTTTACAGTATTTCATACAGCAGCTGATTTTGTGTCTGATTATATTTAGATTGGCATCACAATGTGTTTGTTTCATCTGATCTCATCTTTCAGTTTGGAGACACATACAATTTTATCAATTGTAGCTGAAATTTCACTGGAGACTCTATTGGCTTGTCTTTCAAAACACAAACAAACGTGAATAAGTCCCTTTCAATCATATAGGTTACCCTGGGAAGGATAATGATTTATATACCCACATAATGACAATGTTGATTCAATTACAAGTGAGTGAATTTTAACACATTCCAGTGATTATTAGAGACAGGTTTCTTTTTAAGTTTTTATTGACAGTTTAACAGTATGTGTAAGTACATTGCTATGCAGTATATCCCCAGAGGGTGTCCCATTTGGACTCTCCAGCCTTCCTCACACTCTGTAGGATCTCATCTGTACCTGGCCGTGTGGTCTCCCCATCTCTCAAACAGTCATAGGGTCCATTAGCAAATAGCTCTTATCAACCTGTTATTCCCAGGAGACCGGGCCTCTCTCAAAATAAGGGGCCCAGAAAACCCAAACATACAGTCGCAGTTCTCCAGGTGTGTGCAACGACATGTGCGCTAGCAGATGAAGATGAGATGAAAGTTGGGTGTGTGCATTTTTGTAAAGTAACTATCACAATGTTGTCGCAGACTTGCTGATGCCTATTCTGTGTTTGTCTTTGTTCGTGTGTGCGCGCTCCCTCTTCGCCACCCTGGACAGCGTTGGCATAATAAGCGCTGAAAAACATCAGCAGTCTGTATCATCCTGATGACAGGTTAACTACTAGCTGTTCAATGCCTGCTGATTTACAGTAATGGGAGGGAAATCATAGCAGGAGTGGAGACTTGAGTAAAGCTGTTGTTTTTTACTTCTCCTGCAAATGCACGTCTTTCACAATCCATAACAGAGGACATATGAGCATGACCACTATTTTTTCCTTCTTTTACAGCTGCAAATTTAAAATAGAAGTCCTTCTTTCCTTAACCCAAAATTAATGGGTTTGGTTTTGATGGGGTCACACTCTTGTCACAATTTCCTCCTGTCTAATTTCCCTCCTTCCACCTTGAGCAGACGACATAAATCAGGCCTGTGAACGGCATTTATTGTACTTAGTAACGGTAGTTATTCTCACGCTCTGTAACACTGCCAGGGCTCCTGACCAATAAATGTCAGTGGTTGGGTTTCTCAAGTGTAAGGAACACAGTTTTGTGAAGGTATGGTGTGTGGAGGTATTTGTCACCTCAGAGAAAAGGTCTCATATTGAAGCTATCATCATTAAGGCTGCTTTAGCAGCAGCTCAGCTTTACACATTTACATCCTCTGGTTGGCTGCCATCTTGACTGAGGATAAAGGGTGACAGGTACTGCAGTCCAACACTTAATGACTAACTAGAATGACTTTCTACATTTTTCCTGCTTTTTTGTTAACCCCCCTGACATCCTACTCTCTATGTCACAGCCAAACCTTTTCCTCATATAGCATGGAGAGTGTTGTTTTAATAGCATGTTCTGATGGATTATTTTTAGTTGGAAACAAACGCATGTTCTTTACAATTCAGCATGCAGCATCTAATATGTTATCTTTCATATCTTCATAATTATTTAACTTATATAGTTGATTATTTAAATTAACGTTACTTTTATAAAGTTGCATGTTTAAGTCTTGCTTTTAAATAGGTTTTTGGGAAAATATGTAAAATGGTCTTAAAAAGTCTTACCTCTTGTAGAAACCCGCAGAAACCCTGGAGTGTCACTTTTAATGTCCTTAGAAAGAGTCACCCAGTCCATGAACACTCTTACACAGAGGTCACTAAAGTCAGACCTGTCTGAACAAACCTTTAAACCAGCAGTGTGGGTGTCCATTTTGCAGCTTCATGTCCTTCAGAAATGCACATAACTCTTGCTTCTATTTCTATCACCTCTTTATTTGCTGCCAAATGTACAGTGACTCAGTATCACCTCTTAAGGTACAAAGTGGTACGAGATAGGCTGGGCTGGGGCTAGCTTGTTAGCATGAGCACTTCCGTAAATATATATGCAACACAGTACATAGACATCTTTCACATGACATCAAAACTGTTATTTCTTCACATTCTATGTATACTTTTAGTTGATTTTTGAATGTTTTTAAATAAAATCTTACATATAGCTTGTTTTAATATGAAATGAAATGAAATTTTAATATGATTAATAATGTATCAGTAATTGCTGTAATTTGTCTATACCGTGATACAAACTGGGACCAGATAGAGGGATGAAAACATGGGAAGATAGATGGATAGAAAAGATATGACAGCTGGGCATCACATGAAAGCAAGAGGCCCACGCAGTCGGTGTTAAAATATGTTTTCATGTCATCACTTACAACAGAGGGATGGCCTGTCTGATCTCTGTCTCAGACTATCTGTACTGCTAGTTAATCTGATGGAGATACTTCTGAGTACCTTTATTTTCTCCCTCCTGCCTCTGTCAAGGTATCTCTTCTTCCATCCTTATGATGTCAGTTTGAGCAGCATGGATGTGAGTGCAAGTATGTGATAAAAACCAGGCCCTGAGAACCAACTGATCACAAAAAAGATTTGATAATCTTAATTGTTCAAAACACACTTTTCTGCCAGTTGCTGTTATCCCATTTAACTGAGTGTAGATCACAGGCTTGATTAGAACTCATATTCCCAAAAAAGGTACACTTTAACACTCCATGGACTTTGTGGAAGATTTTCCATTTTCAATACAAGAATGCAGGTAAACACAAGAATTGGTTATGGAGAAGTAGAACTGAAACAGAGCTGATTACAAATTAAAAAATGGGGAAATCTTTAAGCAGTATGCTGTTTGGTTCCTGGTATCAGTTCCTGAGAGAGGTTTTTAGCTTTATGCATCCTGCTACTGTACCTCTCGGCTTATGTATATACTGTATTTCAATGCATATGCACAGTATTTATCATATGATAGGCCAGAGCTAGTGCTTGAAAGCGTGGCTAAAACTTTGCAGAACTTCACTGTGTGGTTTTCCATGCAACAGAATTGTCAAAGCTCTGCTTTTTCTATTATTTGTCTCTGTAATATTCCAAAATAATCCATGTCCATATCTTTATGTTTGGAAATTTTAGCAGTTGCTTACATCACTCAGCATGTCTGCAGAAAGCTTTGAGAAACAGCAGGAAGTGTTATGTTTGCCCATTAATAGAAGCTTATTGACAGATTTAATTATAGTTCTGGGCACAAAAGATGAGAAATCAGGGAGAGTGCTACCTGTGGTAGTGTTGCCTGATTGTTAATGGAGATTATTGGGTGCTTGGTTGAGATATATTTGGGGAAACACTGAAGAACCACTTTTCATTATCTATGAATTTCAATTGCTGGTGTCTTGCTCAAATAGTATACTAAGAATAGAAACCAGAAATCCATAAGCTCAATTGATAAGCAGAATAAATTATATTACTTTTCTTAAATAGTACTCAGCTGATTTAGCATTTCACTCCTACAACATTGTTGGGGTCACCGTTTTCAAAAAAGAGCAAAATTGATGCAGCAGAACCAGAGATATCATCTGTCTTCTTCTACTCATTTTTCCTCCCTGTCATAACCTGTTGCCTGCATTACCCATAATGCAGGGCAATTGCAGATAGTTTGGTCGGCATCTCAGTTCGGTTATGCTAGTCTAGCCTCAAGCCTAGATGAGATACAGGCTACAGTCTGATACTAAGTCTGATACTAAGTCTGGTAAGCTCACTTATTTCTAACTCCACACCCCCTCTTGTAGATCCAACCGCTGACATCACTTCAGGCAATCTATCAGACTTCATGCAGCGCCATCTGGATCCACAATAGTCTATATGCAACTTTTTTTTCACATATGCAGTCGTACTTCCCAACACCTGGAAACTTTGATGTGTAAAATCGGTGCATTTCACCTTTAATGTTCCTGTCCTCACCAACTTCCCCCCGCTCTTCCTGGGGGATCATTAAGCCTGAACACTATGTAGTCCTCAGGGCATTTTAAATCGAGGCACCTGAAAAGTACCCTTATAATTTGACCAAGCCATCTCTCGTGGTTGATCTGACTGTGGAGGAGCAGTGACTTGACGCCAGGGTCCTCCCACATGGCCTAGCTCCTTTCCTTGTCGCAAAGAGTGAGGCCCGCCACCTTGGGGAGAAACCTCATTAGCGTTGTTTATATTCACAGTCTGAGCATAAAGCATACAATATGTGATTTTTGGCATGAGGAGCTTTGCTTTGTGGCTCTGCTCTCTCTTCGCCATCACAGTCTGATATAATAACCGAAGTCCTTTAGCTGTTGAACCTGATGGTCGGTCTCACAATCCTTTTGAGACTCATAAGCTCTTAATTAGGACAAAAATCCAAATGTTTTATTAATTCTTTCAAGGCACATGCAGTTGTCCATACGCCTGTTTCTTTTTCAACTTCAAGCACAGATAGAACACAAAATAAGCAAACACTTTCTCTTCACTTGTTTATTCTGGACTGTGAAGGAAAGATATGTAGCAAACATGTGGTTTGGTTTTTCTGAATCACTACTTTGACCTATTTACTTACAATAGGTAAGATAATTGCATCAAAATCAAATGAAGTGCTTAAATTGAAATCTCAAAATGGTTTTTAATAGTTTTTTTTTTAATGTCAAAGTACATTCAATTGTCAAATATTTTGTTTATTAAAATCATGTTGAACCAGAAGTCATGTTTCTGTTGCATTTTCCTGCCATCCCACAGTATTGCAGTGCTATATGAACACAGATTGGGTTATAGGTTTGTAATATTCTGTTGCAAACCTAAATTATACTTTTCGGTTTTTATGCTACACTGAGGTATTGTGAGCTTGCCAATATAGTTATACAACTACCACAAGCTGTATCATCACTGTCCCATATCTGTCTGATTTTATTTATTTGCCCAGCTCTGTATACACGGTCTGACAAATCCTGTAATTTGCGTACATATGTTGTTTGGTTTTATGTGGTGTCAAAAGGAAATGGTTTAGGCCTGATCAAAAGAGCTGTTTGATCTTGCTTAAGTTTGACAGTGGATGGCAGCCAACCAAACACTAGCCCACCTGGCTGTTCAGATGTAGCAGAACAGAACACACACCTGATAATTTACTTTTTTTTTTTTTTCTGTCTCTGCCAGAGGAAGCGTTCTCTGCTCAGCACGAGAGTCTGAAGGAGGAGAAAGATTCCTTAACCAAGCTGCAGAAGGAATGCACTGCCAAGAGGTATCTGTGAACCTGTAATTAGCTATTAGCATTATTTCTGCACAGAAGACACACTTTTTAAATGCATTTATCCCAATCAGTAAGACATTACCCAGAACCCACTCGGTGTGACTCAATGTGAAATGTGATGAGACCACACCCTGCTCCTTGCCTCCCACCATGCTCTTTCAAAACAAGGGGATGTTTTTGCGGTTTTCAATGGAGAGTTTGCACATTGTGCTAAAAAGCCTATCGGCCTGTGTTTGCCTTGGCCTGTCGGGAGACGTGTGCGGCGGGTGCCGACCCTGGACACGGCTTTGTTTGTCTGAGAAGTGCCTGGCAGTCACAGAGGGTAAGGCAGAGCCCCAGGAAGGCTAGCATGGGCCAAGAGACCCAGCAAACAGGAAATTAACACCGACACTTGTACATCTGCCTAACATCCAATGCTTGGAAATATCTGTGTCCTTGATGTTGTTCATGGAAATGCCTCTTTTTATTTAACTTCTTTAACTTTTAGCTAGGGAAAAGTTATGCTGAACATGTACACTTTTTTCAGGCTATTCCCATTCTAGTTTAATATTTCACTGCTGCTATTGAACAACTTCTCTCACAGAATTGGGGATAATAGGCATCAGTCAGGATATATTTAGTTGTAGTGTGCTTTTTTTAAAAACAATTACCTGAGGTGTTAAACCAACTATTGCTGTAACGACTATTGTCATTATTGATGAATCTGTTGATAATTTACTCATTAAATGCTTCCATTGAGGTTTTCGAACAAAGCTTTAAACCTCTGTAGTCATATTTTTGTTTCTATTTTGTTTGTGAGCAGACATTAAGAAGCAAGGCAGTGGAGGGAATTTGCATGTTTTATGCAAAGAGTTTGTGAAGGGTTTGCATGTTGGATTTAACCAATTAGCCGAGGCAGAGCCTGCTGGACAGATGAGTGATTTCAGATCAAACGATTATTACACACCAATCTATCTCCTCTTTCACTTGTACAAAGCAGCCGCACACTGGGAAAAGGAAATGATAAGAGACTGTTAACCACAAACAAAGCCAAAGAGGAAATTCAAGTGAAAGGCGAGGAGCGTGGATGGGAGGGTGCATCACATTGAATAACTATTTTCCCCCAAAAATCCCTTTTCATCTGCATGAAATGATGGGCTATTAACCACAAGCAGTGGTGTAAGTATTGTAGAGGACACCCAAAGAGAGAAACTCGCCCACACACTGCATTCATACAAAGCCGTCGATCACCTGTGTTACTTATACATAAGCAGTTGCAGGAATAACTGCATATTCTGGAAGAGTCATCTTATATTCACTCTTTTAAATGCAGGGCTTTTTTTTTTAGCTGCAGGGATGTATTTGATGTAATCAATAACTGGAATAATTTTACATGCACACTCTTGTATTCTATATAAATCCACCTTTACTCTCCTCTACAGCTGTAACCTGTAAATCACCTGAGCTCACCATGTCACTTCCTCAGTGATATTATATTATATTGGATGTGGAAGGAACAACCATCACTGCATTTGTTTTCTAGCACTATACATAGTCCAAAGTTTCAAACTGCTTCAGCATCTCTTTACATGAACAGTCTAATGCAGTACTAATGCAGTATTTCAGTTTCATTGTCTAAAGGAATACATATACACCCCCTCACACAGTGTTACCTCAAACCCCAGTACTTGTCACTGAAGGCAAATACCTTAGGACATAATTGCAGAATGTCCTCTTGCCCGTTCTGATAATGGGACAAGACCCTGCACAACTAACACTGACTGTCCTATTATGGATATAAAATGACCAGTGGATGTTATTTTTCCAGTTAAATTGCAGAGGACTCCTAGCTTTCATCCATACAAGGCCTAGAGAAAAGCAGATTGGCCTATTTTTGAGCTTGGAGCAACATTAACCTGCTCTCACACATCATTATGCTGCATAAATAAACCCTCCTCTCAGTTCGTCATGAATCTTTTATATTTTCACTAACTTTAATTACCTTTATGCCTTACAGTGATTCCCTGTGGAGTAGTAACTAGCCTGGATGATTTCTACAGCCAGATTTCCACTTCCTTCCCATCTCCTCCAGCTACACTCCTTCCCTCACAATCTCATTTCTGCTCTTTCTCTAGTCCCTCCTTTGCATTAGCACTCCTCACGTCCTCCGTTCTTAACTGCAGCTTTTGTCTCTTTCTGCCAGCCGGTTACTAATTGTGTCGTCCCTGTGTCTGGTTTTGTCTCCCCAGAGAGCAGTTCCTTAAGTCCAACGCCCAGCTCACCTTCCGCTGTCGTCAACTCCTCTCTGAGCTTTCCTACATCTACCCTATTGATGTGGTGAGTTGGACCTGATGCTACGCCGCTGCACAACACATTGTTGACAAGGCAACTGCAAAGAATTATCCGGTTACAAAACCAAGGCTTTGATAAAGCAGAAATCGTGCAGAGAGTTACATGTGCAACAGTTCTCTATTTTTTAAAGTGCCTAAATCTGAATGTTAGTGTTTTAGGAGATCATCCAGTCATCACCTTTCAGTTTAAACTGTGATTCACATTACAGTCGCACTGTTTTCTGAGACATTTGGCATACAGGCTAAAAATTCAAATGCTGACACCACCAGACAATGATGGAATGATTTAAAGCAAGTGCCTGCTGTTTCTTCTCACACAGGGTTTCATCGTCTGGATCTGTTTCTGCTGTCCGATCATTGTCTTTAATACAAAACCTCTTATTTAAATCCACAGACCAATCAGTCAGATTATGTCATCTGCGGAGTGAAGCTGCCAAACTCTGAAGACTTTCAAGGTAATTTATTATGTGCCTGCTTTTGTGTTTCAGGGTTACAGGAGGATACGCTATGGTAAGGCATGCTGAACAAATGTTTTGCCTTAACTTTAATGCGTGCGGTTATATTTAGATGTTTGGTGAGGCGAAGCAATTTAACGTTTAACAATTTGAAAGCAGATGATCTCATAGATACAGTATCTGTGATCTGTGAGTTAGCAATAATTGAGCATCAGTGTAATCGCTTGACCTGCGGCAAAGACGGTCTTTGAATTCAGATTATCATGCACAAACTTTCCTGGTTGTATTTTTTTTTTTTTTCAGGGTGGTATTTTGGTTTCTTTATTTTTTATTTTTTATCCTCCTGGTATAATTTGCATCGATTTATTTCTCGTCCATGAAATAAAAAGAGACAGAATGAAATGAATAAAATGTCAGCAAGTGTTCCTGTAATGCCTAGTACCAGCAGAGAGGAGGGAGGAGGCTCCATGCTGATCTACAGTTGCTAAAAAATAAAAGAGGAAGATGAAAACTCTTGGAACTGGAAGTAAGGAAAAAGTTTGGAATTTGGAGCCAGGCATGTGGGCCGCGCAGAACTAGGTTTGCTTGCATTCTTTTGTTCTTTTCTGATTGCTTGTTGGCTGTTCATGGATTTGTTCAGCACTACCACAGTCTTACAGAGTCTTGTCACAAGATGCTTTTGTATCTGGTTTACCACCCCATATCAAAGACACAGTATTAGCCAACAGAAAAAAAAGTTTTGTCAGCAGGCAGTTTGAGCCACAAAGCCCTTGTTATCATGTTGGTGTGCTAGGTTAGAGTAAGGGTCACGCTGCATGGGTAATGATAAATGGGATTTGCTGTCACAGCAAGGGAAACTTAATGACTTCATGACCTCTCAATAGCGCAGATGAATTGAGGGGTTGGGGTCGTATTGAATGGGTAATGAATGGTTAGCTTTGGTCTGCAGCATTTGTGTAATACTGAGAACACACTAGCCACTGTCCACTCAACATTCTCCAGCTCCCCTTACTCACAGCTGGTGAGACCCCGGGCAGGCCTCAGAACCCATAATTCAAAAACACCACTCCCAATCCCCTCCGCTCCCCGCTGTCACACTCCACCTGTTAACATTTTTTTAAAAGCACAGTGACAGTATAGTGACAGTCAGCCCATTTGTGTTTGCAGCAATCACTTGTTCCCATAAGGTGGAAGCCTGTGTCTGCTTCTGCCTCCCAGTGCTGCATAGGTGGACACCTAGCAGTGAGTAAATGACTGAGCATGTGTTGTTGCAGAAGAGCCTAACAGAGAACATCCTAACGCATTCACTGCTAACTACCTTCCCCTGTATGCCCTCCCCTCATCATCAGGTGGCTTGTGAAATGTAGAAAAAGAGTTGTCATGCAATCCTGGTATCCATTAATATTCACCGTCTAACATAACTGCTGTGACATGTTTCAAAGGCCAGTACAACAGAGAGGATGGAGAAGCATGCGTATTACACCTTTATTTTACCTAACTGTTGACCCCGCGCTCGTGTGTGAGGTTTGCCCTTGAGAAAGCCCGATCAAGTCTAGAACTGTCTGGATGTGTGTCAAAGTCAGTTTAAACAGGCCTACAGGGGAGGATGTTCCACATTAGAGGCCAGGGTCAGGGTTAGTTGGAGTCCTAATCCTACTGGGGGTCAAAGTGGAACAGGGTGGCACTCTGATGAGGCCCTCTTACATTTAACTAAGCTTTCCTTGTCAGCTCAGCCTGACAAGATATCAGCAGTCTTTGCTTGCACACTAAGGTGTCACCTTTAGCTGACCTGATTTTCCTCTTAGTGTGTAGCATCATCCAAAAGCCTCGGAGGCCAGGATGCTGTTTACCCCAGGTGATTGTGTCGCCATGGACAAAAAAAAATGCAGGAAGAATAATGATCCAAAGCAGGCTTTCTGTGTTAAGTTGAAAAACACACAGCATGAGCCAAGGAGTCTACCACTCTCTATTGCCATAGTCTATTATTTCAAAGCATGAAGATAAAAACCACGGTGATTTGAAGTCTTTGCCTCAAGCAGTGTCCTGCTGCCGTTTGAGAATGTGAAACCACTTAGTGTGTTGTCTTGAAACCATTTCTCGTACTTGAAGCGAGATGTTTGCTGTTTCTTTCAGCGTCAGAAATGTTCACAAAGGCATCCAGTTTTCCACCCTTAAAGTTATTTGGGCTCAGTGCTACGTGATGCTTTTGCTTCTCAAGCACATATCTGAGATAAATTGGGTGTCCCACTGCAGCCAATGGTCTTTGGTACTGTGTGCTGTGCCACATTTTATATTACTTTCAAAAGACTTTCCCACATAATGCAACTGCTCTTCTTCCTGTAAAAACTTGGTTAAGAAGCTATCTTTGGTTTGATGTTTATACATTTTTGGGTTGGATTCACAAGATGTGGACATGGTTTATGTAAGCACAATTTATTTTTCTATGAGAGTACATTCCAAACAAAGGAAACATTGCTGACTGTATACTTTGAAGTTCTTGATGTGATACAATACTGACTGTTGGGTGATTAAAATGCTGCTGTTTTGAATTGAAATTGCATTAGATTATAGGCTTACAGGCTTTGGTGTGTGTTGGTCACTTTAAACGCACATTGAGATTGATTAACAAGTACAGCATTTCTTGTCTGCTCACCACAACTGTATCTAATGTGTGATTACTGGAACCTCCTTTTTGCTTTGTATCCTGCAGCAAAGGATGACGGGAGCGTGGCAGTCGCACTGGGTTACACATCGCACCTGGTCCTGATGATCTCGTGCTTCCTGCAGGTCCCTCTTAGGTATCCGGTGATCCACAAGGGTTCACGCTCCTCCATCAAGGACACCATCACTGACAGACTCACTGAGAAGGAGAGAGAGTAAGTAGGCTCAGTGCATGGATCACAAATGCTGATGTACAAGTTTGTCTTCCTTGCTGTACAAATAAATTGTTCAAGAAGTTTAAATTAATTCACTCAAAAACTCAAAGTGCTGCAACTATGAAACATGCATTGCTGTTAATTTGGTGTCAGCACCATGTGTGTTTTCAGTACATCAGCCTTTTGATAATGTCATTCAACCAGCAAACACAAACTAAATATTGTGGTGTATTGTTTTATATAATTCAGAGATTGCACTTCAGCCAGTGTGTTCTGCCTCTTCTACCCTCCACACAGACTGCTTACCTGCAGGCAACCAAAGCTCACTCAAACCTGATTGATCAATGCTACTCAGAATAAAAACAGAAACCAGAACGCTTCCGATGCCAACATCTTGTCCCTTGCCTACAGATTCCTCATTCATATGCAGATATTTGTTTTAGTTTTGGTTAGTGTTGACTGTGGTGAGTCAGGGAACAAGTTATTATTTATTTATTTTTAGAAGAAAAAATCACTTCTCCACAATGCTGTCATGTAAGCAGGGTTATTATGGGTAATTGACAGTTTATACAAACATGTCTAACAGACTATTGTAACACTCTGCAGTTATAGCAGTAGTGGTAGTTTTATCATTGTATACATAGGTAACAAAATCTGATTGAATGTAAGTTAAAGAGCAATTAAATACCCCATTTTAGCTTGAACACACCCTTTTCACAAATTCAAACAATGCATACCAACCATTACGAATCAATAGTCATTTACTAACTCAACAAACTTGATTTAGAGTAAGTTTGTAACACCTTTTTTATATATTTACTTTTATTGTACATATTATTATTGGTTTTTTTTTATTACACAATAGCGCATAGAGTATGGTTGCTGTGTGAATCATTATGTTTTAAAAAACAAAACAAGACATGAAGACTGGGTTTTTAGTGTAAGACACAAAGAAGAAGATGAGTCACAGTTCCCATGTGAAAATGATTTTATTTATCTCACATTTCAAACACAAGATTATCATCAAGGTCTAATCTGTTTAAATATTGGATAAATAAAGGCATTTTTGCATTGGTAAGATTGAGCAACCTATTTCTTGTTTTCAACTTTTCCCTCGTTGCCAATGCTGTCACTTAACAGACAATGGCATAAGTCTGATCCGAAAACTTCTGAACTAAAAGTTCTGCTTTTACAAATCTTCCCTGCGTGACTTCCAATCATTACGTGCAGATTAAGGAGCCGAGATGAGAAATAGGAAGAATATCCATAATGAAGTACTACCTTTAATCTTTCAGATTTTGCTTGTCGTGTTGGCCGTTTTTGGGTGTGTGCAAGGCAGAGTAAATATTTTTCAGTGCAGCTATTTTCAGTTTTGCAAACCACTTCCTGTTATATACTTGTATCTGTTGAAAATACATCATTGTACTCACAGAAAAGTCTTGTTAATCGCTGGAAAAGAATGACTGTAAGATGAAAAGAAGCATTAATCAGACATCTCAGCTGGTGCTCATTTCCAGCTGCAACAGTCAAGATTCAAAAAGTGTTTAACATTTGTCACATTTTAACACAGTTAACAAAAAGTACACATGGCAAAACCTAGAATACTTGTTGATCGTTTATTTTATGGCATTTTCACCGCTTCATGATTACATTGTCTTCTATTTACACCATATTACACTTTTAGTAATCTATCAAACCATAACCACCACATCCAATAACTCAGTGCTGCCAGATTTCAAAGAGCTGGGGTAATGTAGTCAATAAATTGCCAGCCTTGTTATACTGTTATTCTCGTTGAGGCCGTATATTTAAGATTTCAACAGATCATAAATTCCAATATTTAATACAGAGTATTATGTCTGTATGGAATTGTAACATAGCCCTATAGAGGCTTATACTGCTTAACTAATCTAAACATTTTAAGTTAAATTAGCCGCAGTGAAATCCATTTTAGGAAAGCTCTCCAAAAATGTATATCTGGCTGGTTTATAGAGGGCATGTTTTTAGTTGAGTTGGAATGAGTCTCTACTCTGATAATGAAGATTGCTCAAAAATGAGGTTTGATTGACCTTACCATGTGCTGAGAAGCTTCTGGATGAAGTAAATCTACCTTGTTAATGCATCCGAGGTGTCTGTATAGGGTTGTATAGGGATCTGTGTGAGAGCTCTACTGTTTATCCATATGTTATTAGAGAGGGAAACATAGTTGTGTGGCCTTATACACTACCTATCCATGCATCCGCTAATTTTTCAGCTGCCTGTCTTGGTCAGAGTGGCAATCGTCTTGGGTAAACTAAGTTACAGTGACTGCAGTTACAATTGTTTTCTTCCTTTGTAGTGTAGAATATGAGAGGGGTTATATTTGTCCTCATCACTGCCACCAGCTGCATCTTACTACAGTATCCTGTCTTCCATTAGCTGGTGGCATTCTGTCTATAAGCAAAAACAGAGACATTCCTAGAGGATTGGATTGATTGGATTGGATATACACTCAGTCCATTACTTTTATGGCCAATTATGCTATGCTATACTATATTTGAAAACTGCTTTGTCACACAGAAGCATGCTCATTCACTTTTACCTGGCATTCACTCAGTAATATAATTAGGTGCAGCGCCCCGGTCCATAATCTTAGAAATGCTGATTTTTTTTTAAAAACATAACAGGAACCAAAAATAGTGCTTGCATATTTACTGCACTGTCTGGTTGTGTGATTATCTACAGAATGTTAAATGCATTAACCAATGCTTTTAACATTCTGCTTTTACAGGAGTGAGGACCAGTGCTTTTGTATGTTTTGTCTCATTTACCAAAAAAATTTGTCTTCTCTGTGAACGTAGTTGTATTTTGCTGTGACACATTCATGTGATGTGGAAAGCTTCTATAATTTAATAGTCAGGCGATAAATAGCAGCTTTTTAAATTGAAGATCTTACCAAACCAATTATTTTCCTTTGGGAAATGTTAAAATGCTCTTATTGTTCTTTTTCTGGTTTCATTTTCTTTAACTGCAAGGTTTAGATGGAATCACACCAGTATGTCGAAATACACACGGACACATACACACATACAGACATAACACAGTCCCTACAGCAGCCTACAATGGCCTAGCTTCTGGATTTGGATACAGATCAAAATATGAAATACTACTACATTGCAGGGAAATCTCAGTAACTCTCAGTACACATACTTGTTTTTGCTAAAAAAGCAGTCTACATTTCCACTACAGACCTGCATAGCCTGCACAGGAGGTGCTGTCTTCCGGAGCTGTTTTGTGTTGGCCATGGTAACCAGTTTCCCTTTTTACAGTTTACCTTCAGAGAATCTATAATGCTGCTCTGCCGAGACTGTAAATCACAGTGCCAATTTAGTGCCAGCCTATCACACCTGAGGGCTGTAACTACTTTGCTTCCTAGCTTCACAGCATTATATAATTTTTGTTGAATCAAGAACTATTCATGATTGAAAATACTATGTTGACATAGAGAGAAGCAAATGATAAAGTGAGAATCTAACCTCACCTGGGGCTTTGTCAAGGCTGTTTGTGTCAGTCAGGAATTGTACCGACACTGTAATTACAGCAAGGGCCAATGTAATGAAATTATTATTTGTGTATGTTATGGTCTTGTAACTATGCATCAAGTCATAATAAAAAAAATCCCTGCTGCCTTATTATAATTGCACACTTGGGCCACATGTGCTCAGATACGCACCTTACTTACATATTGACATTCCACACATGCAAGACCCCCTTCAATAAGGGTGAGAGGCTAAAGATTATGCTATAATCAACAGTGTTACTAATAGTTTGGGTAGGTTCAAAGCCACCGGAAGAGGAGAGTAAAGATGAAAGTCCAGAGTCATGCATGCTATGTATGGACTTGTTGATAAGTGTAGATCCTTTTTGTTCTGTTATTTTTCTTTTAAAGAATATTTCTTAATGAAGTTACACACATTCATTGTGGTGTGTTCTTTGTTGGAAATCTGAACAAATATAGGTATTTTGGAGGCATTTGTGGGCCATTGTATGTGTGAAATGTGTTTGCTCAGCACTCTACTGTGTTTAGCTGTAAAGAAGCGAGTTGGGGGCCGTTTGAAACCTGAAGTAGGCTCATTATAGTGAATTATTTCAATTGGTTGGAGAAGAGATGCAGGCCACATGGCGATGTTAAATCAGGTCTTAATAACAGGACTGCAGACCAGAAAGGCTCACCTTTCTCTTGTTTTTTTTCTCACCTTTTAATGTTCTATGCTTAGGTGCTCATGGCACACATTTGCTAAGAGAAACCATGCAGGGGTCAACAACTGTGTTCAGTCCAAAACAAGTGGCTGCTTATTCTTGGTAGAGGCACGTAGGAATGTTGCGTAAATAAGCACTGACACTTTCACATCCACATGTGTCATACATAAGAAGACAAACAGCTGGGAGGAAAGTGTGTGAGAAGAAGTAAGACATTATCAGACAACAGTGATTGAGCGGCCATCTCTGTGTGTGTGATGATGTCATGACAGCAGCTGGAGAGGCTCACTGGGAGTCGCTCCACTCCACTACCATGCAGGATATTTACACCAGCATCCAGCAACAAAAAATAAACTTGTAGGTTCTGTGGCTGTTGAACAGACACAACAATAAAGCATCGCCCTTAGGTGTCCCTGAGTGAGCCCAAACCCTCCAGCAAACTTTCACCCCCATCCCCCACATGTTTATGACCCCTGAGGTCCCGGCGGGCTGCAGACGCACAGCAAAATGATGTGTGGGGAGACGGAAAGCAACCAGCCGAGCTCTAAAAGTGTACAAAAAAGGGGTGATTAAAGTGTCGGAAAGAGGCAGCCGGTGGTGATAAGTGAGGTGGCATGGGATCAGTTTCTCAAAGCGTGGTAGGATTAGCAAGCAGTCAGTTATAATGGCGTGCACATAGGAACCTCATGTTTTTTTAGTTGCATGCTGCACTGCAGCCCGCTGTTGAATGGTAATTGTCTTAACCCTAGTTTTGATGATTT